GGGGGGGGGGGGGGGAGAGAGTTAAAAATGTTTCATGTGTAGAACCTAATTATTGGGGAGAGAAGGCATCTTAGAATTCAGAAGTCATCTGGATTGGAGTAAATATGGTAATATCCCTGCTTCTTCAAGCAGAAATTCATATTTTGCATGGTGCTGCTCTTAGAATTTGACTACGGTCATGTGGCAAGATTCCCTACTGCACCCTTCCCCATGTCACTTTCTTTTTTAAATTACGTGGTGAGGTACTTCTAACTTGGAACCATCTTCTGTACACAATTCCAGTTTCTTGAACCATGAATAAAAAGGGGTCTAGTTGTGCTTGTCCATTTGGACCCCAACAGTTGATTTCCAAAGTTAAAAGGCTTTGGACTACCAATCAAAATAACCAGCAAGTTATATTAGTGCTAAAAATGTTATTAAAATTACAAAAAAAAAACACTCCCAAAAATAAAAAAAACCCTACACATTTCAGCATGCAAAATGAGGGAAAACTCTGAACTGATTCCTGTTTCAAAGCACTGGATTTTCAGTTTTTTTACACTAGGAAAAAAATATTACTGTTTAGGACTTCCCCCCTATTATGGGCTTTGTACATTCCCTGGCTTGTGTTTCCTCTTTTTGTGCTGTACACTTGACACACAAGTATTTAAAAGTCATATTATGACAGTGCAAACAAATCTACCACTTATGATCTTATCCAATAGAAAGGAAAAGTGAGGCATGAAGCTTAAAAACCAGAAATATCACAACCTAGTATGAACTGGGACGAACTTCAGCTGCAGATCACTAGCAAAGAGAATTTTTGCTTCTGGAGCAATACTGAAATACACAGACAAGACAGTCCCTACCCCAAATTATCCCAGTCTCCAAAGAACACCAACATGAACAGGGATGCAATCCTCCCCAGGATAAGTAGATGAGTTTGCTTTGGGGTTTTTTTTGGTATGTTTGTCTGTTTTATATTACAGTAAAAGCTTTGTTATCTGGCACCCATGGGGAATGGGGGGTGCCAGATAACAATATATGCTGGTTAAATCAAGAGGCCCGAACAGGAGTCTTTGCCTGTTCAGGCCACTGCTTCTCCCGCCACCCCTCCTGCAGCATCGCCAACCCTCCCACAAGCCCGGAGGGACAGGCAGACTGGCCCTGCGCAGCCTGCTTTGCCCCACGCCATGGGGGTCCAGAGAAACCGATGTGCCATGGTGGGCATTTCCAGTTTCACTCTACCTTACAAGACGCCATACCAGTTAACAGAACATGCCAGCTTGTAAGGTGCCGGTCAACAGAGCTTTTACTACACATGTACAAACTTAATTAACAGTAGTAAGAGTTTAAACCTTTGCCTATCTGTATAACAGATCGTAGAAAAGTAGATTTTAAAGCAAATATTTTAAACTAAAAGTAGCTCATAAGTAAGCAAATGAAAGAGTAAGGCAACACTAAAGAGACAAAAGGAGCAAGGAGAAAGATTGATTTTTCTTAAAGAAAAAGTATGTGTTTCAAGTTGATTTCTGAGGTGCCAGTCTACCATTGTGGCAGTGGTGCTTTAAAACTTGAAGACAGAACTTAAAGAAAACGTTGCTACAAAAAGTCACAGCACCTAAAAAATGCTAAGGGATTCCTTTTTAGTAAGTGTGTCAGTTTGGCCCATTCAAACAAAAATAATTCTGCACACCTAAATGCAAAACCATAATCCAGGAACAAAGAACACATGGTAGGTACATGGGCTGATGGAATATAACCTGAAAGGCAAAGTCTTTGAAAAGATTCAGGGACTATTTATAAAGAAACATCCTGGCACAACATTGAAGAAAAAATCCAATTTGATACTTGGATGCAGAGGCAGGAGTTGTGTGTAGATAGAGTAATTCTATGTTCTGGTGTCAAGGTTTGTAATGAGCAAGGTAGAGAGAGAGAGAGAGAGAGAGAGAGAGAGAGAGAGAGAGGGAGAGAGGGAGAGAGGGAGAGAGAGAGACTACACCAAAAACACCCATATACTTATTTGAGGGCTAGAGAAGATAACTTATACTGAAGCAGCATGACCAATCTGTTATATCAAAAAGATTGAGAAGTAACATACAGTGTTTAAGTATTTCCACACAGAGAAACTTCCCAAGCACTAGAGGATACCTAGAGCCAAGTGAACAAACATTGGTCAGATAAACTCAAAACAGGAACAAGCAAAATTCTAACAGGGAAGTAATTAAACTATAGAAACGACAGGTTCTCCATCACTTGGCATCTTCAAACAGAAGTTTGTGCCTGTGTTCATCACCAACTGACATCTATATCACCTAGCTTATTCTAACGGTCCTTTAAGCTCAACTCCAACATTTGTTGTTTTCTTGCAAGTCTCACAGATGCTTGACACTTTTGGAGCCCCAGCTTCTGAAGTCACAAGTGTCAGGTTTCATTTAAACTTTAAATGTTAAAGTATCTATAGTACTCATCAGCACGGAAAGAAACTTGAAAGTAAACTCCCTAAATGCTCAAAATTCAGTTGACAATAAGGAGGAGCAAATTTAAAAGTATCATCTTTTGGGGGCCTTGATTTCTGAATGCATAGTTGGCAATGCTGAATACACAGAAGCAAGAATTGTTGGGCCTGCTTCTCCTACCCTAGGAGCACTGTTAGATATTAGTAATTACAAAAGAGTAAATTAAAGAGGAAGTCTGCAATAATTAACAGCTGTCTAAAGCATCTGCTGATAACACCTACCTACTGTCTTGCAGTATGTGGTTAATGATTAGTTCTACTTTGCAGATTTCTTCAAGCAGCTCAGGTCAGGTAGTTGTTTGAAAGACAAGACAAGACATCTTGTTGATCATGTTATTTCACATGACAGCTACAGTTATTGTCTACAGTTTTCTAATCTTCTTTTGCCTTTATCTGTCAGAAAGCTAGGAAGTAACTCAGCAAACCTCTATCAAAATCTTACCTGTCCACATTTGCAGATGCAAGCAGGTAAACGGAAGCCATCATACCAGACAAAACCAGTGATCTGAGACATCACAGATGCTTCGGAAAAAACATGCGCTAGACCCTCAGCAACAGCTCTTTTGAACATAATATCCTACCAGATAAGTGCACTAAAAGCCAGATGAGTCATCCAATCCAGTTTTTGCAGCATATAAATGCATAAATGTTACCTGTGCTTAAGATACAAATAATGACCGTCAATCATAAACCTTCACTAAACCTGAATTACAGGTTACTAAGACATGAGCCATTGGTTTGACCTGAATACACCAAGCAAATGCAGTGGAAGGAAGTAATATCTTTACTTCCTCCAGCCTTGCTTACATATTTCCATATTAAAGGAGGCAAGACTATTAATGACACAGCTTAATATACGGTGGAACATACTGTATAGTGCATTAAGGCTTTTGAAGTTTACAAAAATTGATAATTACTTGTAATATAAAATGATCAAGAATCCTACAGAAGGTTCTGAGCCTAAAAAGGGTCAGCATATAAAAACACCCTACCTGCTCTGTTACAAAAGCCATGGCGCAGAAACTCAAACCATTATTAACCACCACATGGATTTGGAAAAAAATTCCCCCTCCCCCTTTAATGTGGAAAAAGCTGTTAACAAATTCAAGTGTGAATTTAAACAGTGTATGCTTCAATGGGAAAGTACTACCACAGATTTATTAAGTGCCAACACTGCTAAAAGCAACAAATACCAGTGCAGTTAAAGTTGGTATGCCTCTTCAGGTTTTGACTTTATAGCTGTAGTTAGCCGAGTTGCTATGTTTAATACTCTACATTTCAGTTAAAACTGCAAGTCTTGGAGCATGGCAGAAAAGGTTAAAGATTAACAAGAAAATGGAAAGTGTTTCTGGACCCTTTGCTACTTAGGAAGCTTAAGACTGGAAAAATCGGCAGTGGATAAACACTGAACAATGACCTGACAAAAAATAGTGCAACTTTTGAATTTAAAAGTGTTGCCTCTCATGCTGTTGCAACTTTACATCCAGGTTTCCTCATGTTCCTTCCACTGACTGGCTTTGCAGATTAACTGTCAAAGCTAAAAGAACAGATGTTATATCATGCATGTCCCACTCTAAGGAATCATGGGAGTCTGAAATGGTGCTACTGCATTACAGGACAGTGTAGAACAGTCTACTCCATCATTTACAACATAACTTATTCTAGAACCGAGATCAACCTTGGAGCCCATGATGTTTTTCCCCCAGAACAGAAGCCCGAGGACCAAAGAAAACCTGTTCCAAGCTCTCAGCTACCAGATTCTGAATAATTTACTGACTGGACCTGATCAGCAGCTGGATAAAAAAAAAAGATGGCCATTCTAGAGAGTTTGATCATGAATCCTTCTTTGCTCTGAAACTATATGGTAGAGAGATCATAACATGTAATAGGACATGGAAAAAAAAAAAAAACCAACAAGCAAGGTAAGCAAGTAAGCAAGCAAGCAAGTTGAGTTTCAAAGCGTTTCCTCCTTTTGGGAAACACAAGAATGAAAATACACAGGACTCAGCTCAGTTTTCTGACAATGTTTAGACCACTAAGGGCCTACATTAACACAGAGGGCACTCAAATGTTCTTGTTTATCAACACTAAGAAATCTAGCACCACACAGATGCAGGCAAATGCTCGTTTCAGATCCTGAAGTAGCAGTGACTACCTGAGATGCTTCAGGTTACAGCTTTCCTGGATGCTGTCTCTATTTCTGTCCAAGAGTAGACTAACAGTGAAATAAGCCCTCGTATAAAATGTTCCTGTACAGGTTGCCCTCGCTTTATGCTGTACATGTGTTCCTGGAAAATGGCACATAACTTGAATTTGCATAAAGGGAACCCACTTTACAATATAACAAATAGGGATACGTCCCAAGATCTCGACTGTACCAACCCCCAGACCCATTTCTACAAGACAATTTTGGTACTCACCAACACGGGAATGGGCAAAATACAGCCCACAGGCTGCATCCGGCCTACCAGGCCATTCTATCTAGCCTGTTGAGTCCCTAAAAAAATGTAGAAAATTAATATTTATTTGCCCCTGGCTGCCCATCAAAGATGACAGTAGCCAGGGGCAGCAGGAGCCAGGGGGAGCCAGCAGGACTCAGTAGCAAGACCAGCCCTGCCCCGCCCCACCCCCTAGCCCCCCCAGCCAGAAGTTTCTGCCTAGCAGCGGCTGCTGGAGTCTGGCCTGGGACTGCTCCTGCCTCCCTGCGCTGAGGGAAATACAGATAAGAAGATTGTGGGGGGAGGCAGGGGAGGACTGTGGGCGATTGCCCAAGTCCTAAGGGCTGGCTGGGCTGGTCCCTGAGCTGCAACTGGGAACCATGTGGTACCAGAGGCCAACAGGCAGGGGGGAAGGGGCAGTGAGCAGGTGCACAGAGCGCAGCAACAGCTGGGCGGAAGCGCAGGGCCCATGCTGGTGCCCCGGGGCTAGTGCTGACAGGGCCCAGAGAGGGGCGGCAGGAGCACGGGGCTGGGCTGCCAGGGAGTCTGTGGAGCCAGGCTGGCTCCCTCCTCTATGGAGCTAGGCTGTGCTGCTCAAGCAGAGACAGAGCCTATGTCAGCCTGGACCCCAGCACTCCTGTCATCCTGCTTTGGACCCCACCAGAGCTGGCCCCAGTGCACCAGCGTGGGTCCCGTGTTGCCACCCAGCTGTCATTGCACTCCATGCGCCCGCTTACTACCCCTTCCCCCCAGCCTGCTGCAACCATTTGCTCACTCCCCCTGGTGCTATTATACCATCACTTCTATGCACACTACACAAACACATGTAACTCTAGACAAAAATATTTTTTGAAATGAAAATCAATGAATGTTGTAGTACGTTTGATTTTTAGAATACCATTTGGTATTTTTCTGGGTCAGAGGTGGCAAAATTCCTTGCTGAAAGGAGTAATTCTGGCAGGCAAGGGAAAGGACTTCTGGTGGCAAAAGGTCAGGGGTTAGGGGGCTGAACTTCCGGTCCCAAGATAGCGACCACGGGGTACAGCACCTGTCAAGAGGCAGAGCTACCCATGCAGCCCTTGATGGCTTGTCAAAACTCCATAACCGGCCCTCCACACAAAATAATTGCCCAGCCCTGCACCAAGGGCAGACAGTACACACAAGCAGAACACTATCATAATGGGGATGGTGGCTCCACAAATACGTTGCAGACAACTAGCAAGGAGCACAGATCCACACAGGAGACTATTTTTGTGTGCGTCACTCCTACAATGCACCGCACAAAGCAGCTGACTGCAGGCTTCCACCGGACCGATCGCATAAGAGTGAATTTACCTTGCATATAATGAATTTTTAGTATTAAAAGGGTCATTGCACAAGAGCAAGTTTGCACATATAGAACTCACATAAAGCAAGGGAAACCTGTATTTTTGCAAAGTCTCGTCCACCTCAGAACAAATTAACTTGAAGTCCTGGAAGTCTGAACCAGTCTTGAATGTGCACATTCAGCATTCTGAAATGCGAGAAAGCAAGAATTTCTTATCCACAAGAGCTACGTGCAGTCCACAAAATGCAAAAAGCTGCACTGAGTGTATCAGTTTAATCGAAACTCCTGGTCACAAGGATTTTCTCAGATTCTGACTCCTTTTGAGCATCAGTTAAGAGGAGAACGGGAAGTCTCTGGACAAGAAACAAAAATAATGGCGCTGGAAGCAAGAAAAAGTGATTAAGAAAAGAAACTGAGCATGATTATCCTCAGAAAGCAGCAACATAAGCTTTACTAGTCATGGGCCTGTGGTAGAAGCCACCCCAAATAAAATAAAGTGGCTCTTCTTGGGGTTGGACTTGGTGATCTACGGAGGTCCCTTCCGACCGAAACATCTATGAAAAGGATGACACAATTCCCTCCACATCTTCATGCTCTTCTCAACTACACCGTATGGAATTAGTGCCTTTCGTTACAACTTTTTTCCTAAGAAGCAGGATTACCCACCCAGATATAGTCCTTCTGTTCTACAAGAGACACTGATAAAACCTGGATTGTCCTACAATATAGACAGCTTGAAAGAAATTCAAGGCCTGTTGTCTCCTTTGGGCCTGTTCTCTCTGTTCTCTGAAACAAAACAGATAAGGCTCTGATAAGAGAGCTGAGATGGTAGCTGCTGTTTACCCAAGCTGCAAAAAGCAACTAAGGCATCTGCCTAATAGAGAACAATCAGGAACTGAACATGGAAGTCATGTATCTAGGTGTGCAGTCACCTCCCCAGATGACAACCAAAACCTGCACTGGTAGTACTCCCACTACAGTACCGCTAAATAAAAAGCCCCGTTCTAAACATGTAACAAGCTTCAACCATGCATTTTTTTTTAATTCACATAGAAAGCCCGATTCCACATGCATCCCCCATCTCCAAGTTCAACAGGAAATGG